GACGGGCGTGGGTGATGGAGGAAGAAGAAGGGTTGGAGGTGGTCGGCTATGGTGGACGGGCGTGGGTGATTGAGGAAGAAGAACGGTTGGAGGTGGTTGGCTATGATGGACGGGTGTGGGTGATGGAGGAAGAAGAAGGGTTGGGGGTGGTCGGCTATGGTGGACGGGTGTGGTTGATGGAGGAAAAAGAAGGGTCGGAGGTGGTTGGCTATGGCGGACAGGCGTAGGTGATGGATGAGGAAGAAGGGTTGAGGGTGGCCGGCTATGGGGGTGGGTGTGGGTGATGGAGGGGAAAGAGGGGTTGAAGGTGTTTGGGATTGGAGGAGTGGAGGTGACAGTGAAAGCTTATCGGATACAACATAACTCTTAACCCCATGCTCTCTTTCTAGCCCGGGTGGCCGGCCACCTTATACTATTCTCGGAAGGTACCGATCACGTGAAAGAAGAAGGACTGAGCGGGGCTACCGGATTGCAACACACACACCTACTCATACCGCTGCTCACTGGTTGCAGCAAGGAATAAGGGTGGACTGAACAGATTACCGGGTACTGCAGCACATACACCCATATATACCGGTGGCACAGGTTACAGCAAGGGGTAAGGATGGACTGAACACGTTACCGGGGACTGCAGCACATACACACACACATACCGGGGGTCACTGGGTACAACCTGGGGTAAAAGGTGGACTGAACAAGTCACCGGGGACCGCAGCACATACACACACACATACAAGGGGTCACTAGGTACAGGAAGAGGTAAAAGGTGGACTGAAGAAGTCACTGGGGACTGCAACACATACACACACACAAACCGGGGGTCACTAGGTACAGCAAGGGGTAAAGGCAGACTACACAAGTTATCGGGGACTGCAGCACATATACACACACATACTGGGGTTCACTGGGTACAACAAAGGGTGAGGATGGCCTGAACAGGTTACCGGGGACTGCAGCACACACACACACACACACACCGGGTGTCACTGGTTACAGCAAGGCGTAAAGGTGGAATGAACAAGTTACCGGGGACTGCAACACATACACGCACACACATACCGGGGTTCACTGGGTAGAGCAAAGGGTGAGGATACACTGAACAGGTTACCGGGGACTGCACCACATACACACACACACGGGGTGTCACTGGTTACAGCAAGGGGTAAAGGTGGACTGAACAAGTTAACGGGGTCTGCAACACACACACACACACACACACATACCGGGTGTCACTGGTTACAGCAAGGGGTAAAGGTGGACTGAGCAAGTTACCGGGGACTACAACACACACACACACACACACATACCGGGTGCCACTGGTTACA